CCCCCCCCCCCCCCCCCCCCGACACTTAAGCTCATAACCCAATTACTATTTTAAGGAGTTTGGCGAGCAACTGAACATCTAGCCGCGGGTTCGCTTGCGGCCTGAGTCAGCCGCACAGCCGAAGCTACACCTTTTCCCCAAATGCGAACTACATAAGGCCGCGGTGGCGCTACCATGTTGAATCACTCGATTTTACCCCTAGTAGACTACCGATGATGGTGGCGATTTCGGGTTTAAGCACGTGACGCTTTGGGGCAAGGGATCGGACTTCGGGTGTTTGCTTGCAGGCCTTGTTATGGAGGGCACTACCTTGCGCTCTTCATTGTCCAGTCTGGAACAGTCGCTGGCCTCACGGGTCAAGCAGCCGCATGCCGTGAATAAACCGTAGCTGTCGAATGGCTGGACACCCTGTGACTCACGATCCCTGTTGCTCAAGGATTGGCCACTTAACTGAACAGCAGCTTGGCTTGCAAAGGCTGGAAATGCCTTCAGTCCTGAGCCTGGGACTGTCCTCTAGGCACGGCCACTTTACTTCAGTTGAGGTTGAAGGCGTGCGAATCCACCCGAGAAGAGAGGGCACGTCAGGCGGAGGAGGCCAAGTCGAGACTCGGCTTTGATGAGCCTTTCTCTGGTTGAGGACGTGCTGTGCTTGTACAAATCGTTGCGATGCAAGGAGACAGCTGCTGAGACAAGCCCAGATAAGCCAAAGCGCAGTCTGTTGGCGTAGACCTATGTCGCTTACCTTGTGACCAGGAAGAGCTCCATGCTGTCCGGCGACTTGAGCCTGCTTTTGAAGATTTGCCAGTTTCACCTGGAGAAGAGGCACGGGCCGACGGAACATAAGGGATGCTCTTTCATCAAAAAGATAAGCCTAACCGAGAGATGGAGTGAGAGAGTGAGAGAGAGATGGAAGGGAGGGAGGGAAGAGGAGTAATGGTGAATGTTTCGTTTCAAACGCAAGGCGCGAGCGAGTGGAGCGGATGAGCAAGGACGTGATGGCTGTTATTGACCTTAGTTCTGCTTTCACATGAACACCTGCTCTGAGAGATCCGTGCTGCATGCTGCCTTTCTGTTGCAATGCTGTAGCTTGATTTCTGTTTGACTTGACGTTGAGAGAGGACACCGCATTCCAAAAGCAGCAGGCGAACCTCGGGCGAGTTGGCTTTGGACCCGATAAGCCGTAATCCGCACCTGCACCACCTGAAAGCCACGACTGTTCCAACTTTGCGTTTGCCTGGGCCGCTGTCCAATCCCAGAGGCTGGAGGACCAGGCCCAGGCTTTGCTGTTCCATGAATTCCATGAATTCTCGGCAGCTTCAATGTGCAGCTCAGGAAGTATTATAAGTCTTTGGCGCACCAGCAGCGGGCTTTCTACCTCCAGTCCGAAAGGATTTCGGCTCCGCGGCCTCAAAGTCAACGATGGCGGGATATGGCATAACCATGAAATTGCAGCAAGGGAAAGGACAGTTGTATTGAGGGGGGTGCAGGTGTGAGTTTTAGTCGCATGTTTTTTTTTTTTTTTTTGACTGTTTTGGGCTTGACAGCTCGTCCCATGCATCTCGGATGCGGACCCGTGACAGCGGTGCCCAGCGAGGCATGTGGTGGGAAAGACGCCATTGCTCGACACAAGGCGGGCGAGTTGGCCTTGGTGTCGCAGCCACCTACCTTGGAGGACTTGCGGCCTAGGAGTCGTTCCAAGCTGAGTCGACAGGAGAGCCTGAGAAGTTTTGGGGTTTGTCACGGCAATCGTCGAAATCTCGGATGGACTGGAATCATTTCGGGTCCATGATTCGATTCTTATCGGGGGAAAAGGGGCTATTCATTTCCTCATGATAAGCATATATTTGCAACGGGCTCCTCCTGTCATGCATCATGCAACCTATAGCGGGCAGAACCCACTAAATTCCTGCGGACTTTCTAAATCGAATGCAATCCTCAACCCTTGCAAGGACGACAACACCCAGGAGTTGTTTGACGTGGGCACAGCTGTCGCCAACCCGTACGTGTGCCTACGACGGGAGAGCGTTCCCTTTGATTTCATCTCTTTAAGTTCTGGCGCCGTCAGCAGCGGTAGAGAGCAGGCTGCGCCAAGTTTGAGCAATTCCGAGTTGTCGTTTTCGTGGCCAGCGCAAGAGCCTAAGGTGTGATTCATGGCCCTTCGAGCCAAACGTACTGGCAAAGCGGACGCCGCAGGAGTCTGCAATGCCGGCGTGACTTGGCTGAACGATTTCATTGGGATTATGCGGGTTCGTGGGTTCAGGGTGCAGAAGCAACATGCAGATAAACGGTGCAGTCTAGGAGGAAGCCAGCAGCTGCGGAGGAATTGCTTGGGGCTTCGGGTCATTAAGCCCCGAACAGTCTCTGTCAGCGTGCAAAGCTCGGGAGGTTTGAAGAGGAGACAGAGGAGGATCTCCGAGAGGCTTCGCTGTGCTCGCTGTGCTCGTGTGTCTTTTCCACTTAGGCCTAGGCCTTCTTCAAAGGCTGAGGTCTGCGGGTTGGGGAATTGCTGGGCGGCCTGCTTGGGTTTTCAAGGGCCGGCGGCCTGAGGCACCTTGGAGTACTATGCACAGTTGTGGACCCGAGCCCGCAAAGCCTGCATGTCACGTTTTTAAACTGTAAATCCGGAAGCTCAAGAGCGACACTGCAAGAAACCGGCAGCCATCACTCCACATGCATGGTCCAGCGACAGAGTTTGCATTCTGGGTGATATGACCATGTAGTTCTCGACATCCCAGAGCTGCGAGAAGCAATTCGTCCAAGCTTCGTCCAAGCTGGATAGGCGGAGCGGGGCTTCCGCACGAACCCTTTCCGCGGTGCCGGTGCGCGCGGCTTCAACCGTGGCTTCGAGGAGGACGACGCCCCTTGGCAGAACAAGGAATGACAAGTAGGAAGGTTTAGCAAGGTTTTGGTGAAGACTTCATAGCCTCTGGGGTATTGATTTTGTGCCTGCGCTTGCAAGACGATTTTCTTGCAGAAGTTGTGGGCTGTACCAAGTAGCTGTGGCTGTGAACATTCAAGCGTTATTGGGCATCTTGTGCTCAGGAGTACGACCGTCGGCCGAGCAGTGCGAGAAGCCTTTGAGACAGTGTGTTCGCAAATGCCTGTGGCGGCATCCAGCTGGTAGGGTCCTGAGTAATCTTGCGATGCCTAGACCACAGTGCACCCGCAGAGCTGATGCGAGCATTTGTGGGCAGCAGCTTTTGGGAACTTCTGGGTTTCCATCATGGGGCAAGGGGGCAGGCAACCTCCAGCTTGTTCAAAATCCGATGCCTAAACACGGGTAGCTCGGTCTGCTCAGCCCCTCAAAGCCAGGGAAATCTCATGATGTGCCCTCATCACACACAGAGATGCCCAGAGGCTTCGGCGCCTCGGAGACCGTTGTTTAGGTGTCTCGTTCTCAGCACATAACAGAACGCAAGGTTTTAAGTGAGGAGGTTGAGGTCTGGGAGTGACCTCTGGTTGAATGAAATGACTTGAGCTTAAGCCTCTGAATCCGAAACCGCGATGGAATTCGGTTCAATGATTTACTTAACGACAGTAACAGTCTGCGGCGGTGGCAAAACTTTGGCATGCCTGCTCCGTCTCATGGGCACACGGTCCAGCGCATGGCAGCTTACATGAGGAAAGCACCGGCGATGCCATGAAGACCAGCTGATTTGAGGTGTCAGGCCCAGTATGTCAGGTAACTTGCATCCGTCGCATGAACGCCTGGATCCGAAGCAAGCTTTGGGCTCACAGCTGGCTCCAGCAACTGTGTTTTGCACGTTTCACGAGCTGTGGTGGTGCGGTGCTGCACGCCGGGCACCTCGAGAGGTCGCTTTCTCCGGGCTTACGAATGACCGCCCTGCAGAATATCGGAATTTGGGATAAGTGTCAGCTCTGTGGGGGTTGGTTCAAAAGGGTTGGGTTCTTGCTGATGCTCTGTGCATCTCCTGGCAGCTTCTTCGGCACAGTGCAGCGGCTCGGAGTTCGACTGGAGATGTGGCATCATCCCCCCTGACACCCTTAAAGCCTTACGTCTTTCTGATGCCTGGCCCTGCATGCATGGCTAGGAGGTTAGGAATTTCGGAGCATAGCTACTTAGTTCCAGAGCAAGTGAGACAATTATTAGGCTCCACAAACAAGCGGCGGTTTCACCAACCCCATGGGAGCTACCTGGAGCTGTGAAGAAGACCCGGGCTGTTGGGAAGGTGCCGGGGAAGAAATCCACAGTAGAGTGTGGAGCTTGTGTGGAGTTGGTGGTTCAAAGGTAGAGCACGTAGTTTGGGGCTCCAAAGTGAACATCAGCCAAGGACTCCAAGAATATCGTAGGACTTGGGTTGTTTCAAGTTGTCAAGGAAGTTGGTTCGGGCAGCTCGAGTAAATAAATTCTGCTGGCGCCCGCTGAGCAACACCAAGTTTCGTCGCTGGGGCACAGAAGCAACAAGCGCAGGATGCCTTCACAACTCTACCAACCAGGTCGTAGACGGCACCATTTTGAGCCGCAGAGGGCTCCCCAGCGCTTGCTGAACCATGCATGAGTGCGAAAACGAGTATGCTATCAGGTGCTTACCCACTGAAAGACGAAAGACCCTGCTAGGAATAGGAAACGTGCAGAGCACAGAGCAGGTTGGGGATGCAAGCCTCGCCCGGGGCCCCGCCCCGAGCCAAGGAGATGAGGCAAAGCCGGGGGAGGTGTCTGCCACCTTGGATGTTGACGACGTCCTGAGCACGCACTCCCAGGTGCTGCGGGTAATGCCTTCCCGCTGAGATCCCGAGATCCCAAGACTCTGGTAACTCAAGAAACTCCAGTACCCAGTGAATTGCAACGGCCGAGGACTGGCGCCATTCTCCAACATCGGACGAATCGGAGGCAGGCAAGCGATGTAGCCACCAGAGCGCAGTGCCCGCTGAGGAGCTGGAGGCGAGCCGCCCAACTAGGCCTAGTTGGGATCAACTGTGAATGTGGAAATGGAGCAATGGACCAAGGTGCAGGATTCAAGGGCTGGAGGGGTTTTGGGCACCCTGGGCGATGGCAAGGTGCTCTCCTTCTGCCGGTTTGCTGGGTAGGACTTCACGGGCGGCACATACGACAAGTTGCTTGCTTGGTAGCTTGCTTTGTCCTGTCCAGCTTGGGGCTTGCCGGGGTGACAGTGCGGGGTGGGTGCGGCCTTTGATCAAACACATAATGGTGGTGCTTCCTCGCCGGTGGTCATACCCTACGGTTCGTAGTCAGCTTTGTAGCGACACAGTCTCACGCGGTGTATACCGAGGGTCGCATTCAACTTCTGAGTGGAGGCGCTTGCTCCCTCTGGTGGTATCTGCACGGTTCAACATGGCAGTGTTTCTGTGTCGTCGTTCCGTATTCGGCTGTTGCTCTTTGATTTTGTTGCCGCATGGGCTATGAACCTTGAGCCTTAAGCCTTCTTGCCGGAGGTGATGTCCTTGTGTTAGGCGGCCCGAGAGTCAACCTCACCTCAGTTCAAGCGTTTTGGGCTGCCTGTGGTGTTGGGGCCATGCTCGAAGCTTTGACAGGTAGATGCCAATCTCATGCGCGGGCTTTCCCTGCGACAGTCACTTCGCAACTTCGGGATCCTCTGGCCGCCTGGCTATGGCTCCCTGAAGCTTAAAGCCTGCCTGAGTGCCTTTCTCTGCAGCCTAAGCAATCCAGAAATCCAGGTTGGTCTCGCCGGAGACGCGCTATCCGTGCCGCGTGGAGACCCATCCCGTTCCGAAGTTCGATGTCTTCGTTTCCCACACCTGGAAACTTGTGCAGATTTTTTTTGTGTGTGTGTGTGTGTGTGTGTCTGTGTGTCTGCGTGGCTTTTCCGGTGGGAGGGGTTGCAGTCTCCGCTTTGCTTGAGAAGGGTTTTTCGGAACGTTTGTGGGGGAAGATTTGAGGACTCGAGCTGAATTCTTGAAGCCCTAAGCGAGAGCTTGCTCAGGAGGACGCCGGGAAGGTGGAAGATCTTGTGTCTGATGCATTTCTCCAGAAAAATGCTTGGGTTCTCTACGGCGGAAAGCATTCGTAGCTTCGGGTTTTTACCGCTCAGGTACCAAACAGGCTGGGGGCTTTCGTTTTTCCTGCAGACCTTGGTCGCCACTGTCCTCTTGGTACTGGGCTTGATCGGGATTCTGCCACTGCCTTCGACCACTACCATCGCTGGCATCCCGCCAGAGCAGTATCCAGCCGGCAAGCGACAGCAACACTTTTGGTGCTAGCCGCCAGGTCGTAAGCAAAAAGAAAGAGTAAGACTCACAAGATGCCAAGCAGAGCCTAAGACTTCTTCAAGGATTGGCGCTAGCAGTTAAGGTACGAAGCTTCACCGTGGCTCTGTGAGACCAGTTGTGGGTCTCAGAATGCTGATTTTCAGTCTAAGACCTTGGCCCTGTAGTCCTTGAGCCGGGGCTCGAAGGGTTGCAAAGATGGATCTGCTTCTTCCGAGTGCTTCGATGGAGTCGGAAGGTAAAGGGCCGTGGCTTGCATATTCTGTGTTTCGCTGGGCAAACCTCCTCGTTCTAAGTACTGATGACCGCAAGCGCCAGTGACGTGGAGTTCGTGCGTGGTCCAGAGTGAAGCCGCGAACCCTTGCCTATGTAGCGAGCGTGGTTGTGCAGTCTGAGGGAACAGCTCAGGTGGATGCGAGCCAGCAGTCTTCCAACTATGATCCTCGGCCTGTGTATGGCGCCCTATGTCGGAGACTTGTTCAACAAGCAGGTGCACGACCCAAATCTCTCCGTGCGAATTCAGTAGTGAGTGGGCGTGTGCAGCACACCCACACCCGAACAGCAAATCAGTAGCACATGTTGTGTAGCAGCGCAGCGCAGGTAGCTTTTATTGATATGGCCAGCATCGACCAGACCGATCCGGTGCAGAAGGAGCAAGGAATCTCCAGCATTGCAGGTTTCCTCAAGAAGTCCGACGAGCTGCAGGTTTTGTGGTCGGTGGACTATCTTTCTCGTTTGTGGCACACTTAGAGGGCCAATTGGTGTCCATGGAAATCAAGAGCAACTGCACAAACACAGACAACAACAGTAGCTTGAGCAACTATCGCTAGCGTAGCACCCGAAGGGGTGGCAGCAGCACGTGCTGCCGTGCAAGCGGCTCTATTCGGAGCCGACCGAGATCAATGAATTCACCGCCCGTGTGACATCTAAGGTGGTGCGTGTTCGAGCTGGCTGCTTACCGCACAGCAAATCCGTCAGGAAAATCACCTTGATGCCAATGTTCGTGGAGAAGACCTTCGCAGTTCTGATTGCAGCAGTCTATGGTTTTACTTCGGTGTGGGTATTGGCGGAGGCCAAATTTATACCTCTTGGCTCAGAGGTGTGGATATTCGGTGTCGCCTTGGTCCCAGTTGGCCTTTCTGTGCATGCTCTCCGAAAGAGCTTCTTGTCGAAGCACCAGCTGCTGACAGCGCTGACGAACTTCGAGCTTGAGAGTTCCACCTGCAGTTCTGACTTCGACAGGCGCTTTATCCTCCGCTGCATCCGCAGATGGTATGGCGGGCCAGAGCAATTCGAAAGCTTTGTTCGCAAGGACCTGCGGGAGGAGCTTCTCGCACAAATCAGACAAACCAGCTTCCGATCTGGGCATCCCGGACGAACAGAAGCGAGCGCACGAGAGAAGAGGAACAACAGCCACACAGTGCACGCGAAGTCAACAGCTCCTTCATCGGTTTGCTAGTACTTCTTGTTCCTGACAACAATCCCGTGGCTAACAGCATTTCTTTCTTGGTCCCCCCCCCACCAGGGGCAGATCCTTTGACTTTCGACGGTTTGTGCGATCTAGGGGGCCCCAGCTGCGGAACATAACATTTACCCCGAAGACCTTGCACTGGATTCCCTACCAGGTATTACCTGGTGACCGTGGTGCCATCCGTTTGCGCCGGCTTAGACAGCCTAGTGTGCCTCTGGAGACCGGTTTTGAATAGTTCTGCTCATGGGTGCCTGTAGAACAGTCTTGTACAAACAATGCAGTAGTATGAAGGAGAGGACAAGCTCCGACTGAAGCTGTGGTGACACACTTCGTCTGCTTGGTGCTGGCCTTCGACATCTGTTGGATAGTGATCACCTTCAGGCTGCACGGCCAAAACTAACGTCTCCCGAGACACCTCCAAGCTGGGAGGCCCCAACCCGACACTTTCCAGGCTTGTGCTGCTGCTCTCAGATGGCTCTGCGCAGCTATGCTTGCGCTTCCGCTTCTTGAATTATGCCATCTCCTTGATGATCTTCTTGGCAAGCGGCATGCTTTTCATGGTCGGGCTCGTCGGGTCACGCCTGGCGCGGAATACCTTGAGCACCTCAAGCAGCACTGGAGTCTTGCACTGTGGTTGAAACACAGCCCGAGTGAGAACTCGCTGCCAAGCTAGAGACCTACAACATCCCAGAACCTGAGCCCTGAGCTCGGATGCCGAAACCCTAAGCGCTTAGACCTTGCATGCACCATACGGTAGTATAAATTGTGCTCGAGAGAAACAGCAACCTGTTAGATGGTCAGCCGTGGCATGCGCACCACTATGAAGCCCTTCAGCCCCCTTCGTGCAGTGCAGAAGCGCATCACCAGGCGTTTCCACGGCTGTCGGTTGGCTGGCCCTTTCGTGCATCCTCATGGCTCTCACTTCTGATTCTGGGTGGCGTCAGGTCAGAGCCCTCCGAAGGAGGTCCAAGGTCTGATGCAGAAATTTAAATGCTCATCCGAAATCCTGTGTGCTTCAATTCGGTAGCGAGATCACACACAAGAAGCGGCAATGAGCGGAGTTACTGATTCAATTTTACCGACGCACGATGCATCACGATGCGCTTGGAGAGCTTGTGCTCGGGAATTCGCCTCAGAGAAGGAACTTCTTGTCCTCTCTTGGTACTTTCAAGACGACGGTTCCTTCTCTTATTCACTGGGCTAGTACGGCCGCGGAAGTTGCAGCCGCAAACGGCCCTACACTGTGACCCAAACTTTCCTAGTCAAGCACTCCCGACTTTCCATCGAGTCAAGCTGAGCGGGAGGCCCAATACAGGAAGCCTCAAGGGCAAAAAACCATCAGGCTGCTGTCGGATTGAACTTCGGAGTGGTCGGTGCCACAGGATTCGCAGCTCACCTCTAGAAGGCTGGACATACCTTTTCGAGGTTGAGCGTAATCCCTTAGATACCCAGAGGTCGCACAGTTCACTCGGCTGCTTCCGGCCGAGGTAGCGAGTGTTTTGGGGGCTCTGCTGAGCCCTCGTCCTCGAAAGTCTTTTTTTCTTTCTTTAGATGTCCTAAATCTTGTTGCTACGCATCATGGTTAGGATACGCCCTGGAGTACTGAACTTGTTGGCAACGGGCATGCCAGGAACTACATGGGTTGAGAAAACAGCGGCAGTCAGCCGCTCAGCCTGTGTCGAGGCAGGGGAACGGGTTGGGAAGGCCAGTCGCGTAAAGACCGAAACGTATACTCAAGTTCAATTTAAAGATCCACCGGATGAGCATTTACGTTGCAGCTTGTTTTCCTGCTTCAGGTTGGCCAGTAAGGCTTACTTGAGTTGTGTGGGCTCCCTAGTGGTCGGCGTGGGGGTATGCACGGCTCAGGGTGTTTTGCGTGGTTTGGGGTGTCAGCATGGGGACTCGAGCATAAGCTTTTTTTTTCTAACTCTCCTCGCTTCTGTGCTTCCGGCCTCTGCTTTGGCTCCTTTCTTCAGCCCGTTTTGGTCAGCGATCGCACCCGCCTCGTGGCAACTGTGTGGCCATGGAGCCTCGGCCATGCAAAGCAGAAGAGCCGGTGCCTGTGGCCTCGGGCGTCCCGGTCACGAAGTCGGCCGCCTACCCACCGAGGCCAGTAGCTGCACCGCAGGCGGGAGGGCGTGGCACATGCCCGTTTGGCTGCGGGGCACAGCGTAGTTTCAAGGTGTGTTGGGCAAACAAGGCATGCAAATCTGCTAGAGCATTCGGGTTTGGGAGCCGGTTCACAAAGCCCGAGAAGTAATACAAGGTTGATAGTGTCATAGAGTTGAAAAACAGTGAAGATTGAGAATTCCAACGCTGTGTGAAGCCGGAAGCCATTCTCATTGGTACACGTCTTGCGGAAGCTTCTGCAAACCTTTGCCGACCGACTGGGCGTTGTACTGTTGTGTGAACTTCCACGCATACACTGTGAAGTGAGATGCAATGCTTTCCCAGCTCTTTCAGGTCTATTACCGTCCCGGCACCGTCGCCGCCCCGGCAACCGTTACCTATGCCGCACCTGCTGGCACGCCGCTGGGGCAGCCGGCGGCGGTTCGTTCCGTGGTGACAATGGCGCCCACTCCGGTGCAGGGCTCGGATGGCTGAGCGCAGGATTGCGCATTTCAATGTTTCCTGGAGAAGGCTGAAGGGCTATGTAGCCAGGGTCACTGACTTTAGGAAACCGTGGGTTCATGTGCTCGTGCAAAATGGAATACCCTTGTGAAGGTGAACCACCTCAATTGGAGAGACCTGTGCCCAAAATCAGGAAACTGCTTCGGCCGTCCATGCATGTGTGCGTCCAAGCCTCCAGCGAAAAAACCATCTATCTTCGAGCCTTGTTGGCAACTTTGCCATCGCCACCCTCCTGGTGCTCCCGGTGCAAACCCGCAGCGATACCGGAGATCCAGCAGCGGAGCACTGACAACTTCCAGAACAACAAGTCTCCCACGTAGCATCTCAGGCGGCCACCTCCGTGACTTCGGCACCGCTCTCCGTCTCTACGCGCACGCTTGGCCAAGCAGTTTGGCACCCAACAGAGCAGGGCCTCAGTGTTGGGCAGTGTTTGGATTGCTGTGGGTATGATTGTACGGCAGAGTTGACTGAGTAGTCTTGCTTGCCCCTTCTGTGCCGCGGAGTGGGAATACTCACAGAAGCCCAGAATCCTCAAGCCGAGCAGTGCCCGAATGACATCCCCAGGGCCCGTCTGCATCGCTGAGGTTGGTGTGCCCCAGGTTGCCACGGCTCTCCCTCCAGGGGCACGGATCATCCGCACCTCTCAGCCGACAGTGGTGCCGGGCGCACAGGTCGTGCCGGCGTCTGCGACAAGGCGCAGACTGGAGAGTGAGCTGTGATTTCCGTGGGTCCCTTATGAACTCCCTTGAACCTTGAGAGCTTGGAGGCTCGGCTTTTAGGGCTGAGGTTCAGGGTCGGCTTGGCTGAGCCCCCTGGTTGTGGTGTCGACTGCAACGAAGCCTTGTACCTGTCGGGGATGCTTTTGGGGTTTTGGGAGCGAGGGCCCATCCGTGAGGCCCAACACGGTTGGCGGGCCGGCCTACTCTCAAAGTGCCTATGCTCCTCGGCAGCAGCTTCCTGCAGCCCATCCGCTTGGGTCTGAGATATCCAAGAAGACGGCCAGCAACCACTTTGCATACACCGCATTGGAAAGCAACGACTGAAAGCTAGTGCCCGCAAATTTCAGCAGCACCTTCAAGCTTTCATTCCAGCGAGGAAACTAAGCACGAGAAGGATGCGCAACTGCAGAACCTGATTCTCGGCGTTCCCCAGGGTATGGGTTCGCTGGGTCTTGCGGGCAAGATTCGAAGGTTCGATGTCAGGCTTCATGCTGCGTGTGCTTGGCTTGAAATTCAGGAGATGATTCGTGCTAAGCAGCAGCCGCTCTTCACAGCTTGGTTTGGGAAGCGTTTGGCCATAAAGTCCTGCTAGTAACTAAGAGCAACTCGCGCTTCGCTCAGACCAGCTGCTCCGAAGGCTAGGAGCTGTTCGTGTCTCTTGTTGGAGTGTTGGAGCAGGAATTCATGACTAGTGGAAGCTTGCAGCTTTGCTGTCGCAATGAGCTCCGCGTCCATGTGCACATCATCCAAGGAAGGAGCTCAGGAAAACATGTGGACTCAAGGAGATTCCTGTTCATGATGGGCTGCAGGCAGGCCTGTAACCCAAGTCAGTCCAGAACCTTACAGGGTGCGCGACTGTATGGAACAGCCCAGCCGTACATGCAGCCGATGATTTTAAGGTTGATTTTTCAACTGCCAAAGACACCGCACAGGCATTCAAAAGCGCGGCCACAACTATGGACCAGGACCAGGAGCCTCTCAACTTCTTGGTTGCAGAGGTTGCATTCTAATCACCGAGTTCAAGATTTGGGAGCACGCTTTGGCATCAAAAGAAGTGTTCCCCAACAAGTGTGCATATACAGAGAGGGCTGTGTATGGAATGCCAGAACTCCATCTTGGAAGACTATGTCAATTTCTGTGCAGAGCATGTTTCGTTCTCCAACATACAGCACGCAAAGCAAAAGGCCCGCTGAGCTTTAAGGGCGAGATGCGAATGCGACGACTGCTCAAGATTCATGGCTCCAGCGTGGCTTTACGGGGCTTTGGAGTTGCTTGCTTCTGGGTCTGCTTCGGGGTGGTGGGGTCTTGCTTGCCCTGCCCATTGCTCCTCGTCTGCCCTGCTCGTGTGCTCGGTGTTCCTCGTGGGGGCTGGCTGTGGCTCACTCCTGACTCTTTACGCCTTCAGGCATCAACTCTTCCGGCTGGATTTGCCTTGGCCTTCTCCGGCCCAGCCTGCTCCTTTCCCTCCTCCTCGAACCAGGTCTCGACTGTCTGGATACTTGGATGAGTGATAGAGTTCCCTTGAGCCTCGACGTAGATTCCCTGACCGAGGCCCTTGACCACCTGCACCTGGCTACCGATAGCCTCTCCCGTGCCCTGACCCGTGCCGAGCCCGGCCCCTCCGGAGAGTGGATTTTGGTGCAAGACGACGCTCCTCGGGAGTCCCCCGGCCCCCCTAAGGACCCTAATCCCGAACCCGCCGCTGGTTCTAGTGACCCTCCTCCTAGGCTTAGGTTTAGCGCCCCTAATCCCCGCCCCGCTGGGTTCCTCTCTGTCGAGGACTGTATTCCTTTGTGCAGCTCGCTGCCTGTATCCTGCAGAGCCGACAGGGCTCGCCGCGCCTTCTTTGCTGGACAGTCGGCCGCCTTGGTCCTGTCAGGGGAAAGGGACTGCCCTGACCCTACCCCCGCCATCTCTGTGCGAAACCGAGTGTACGTGGTCCTGCGGCATCACTCCGGGGCCCCTCCTGCATTCTACCTGTCCTTTGCATCCTTCAAGCGTGCTGTGGGCCACCTGCCGGGCTCAACTACAGTGTGTCACGGGTTTCCCACCGAGGGGGAGGCCAGGTGTTTTTGCCACGGGGCGGCCCGCCCCTTTCCAGCTACGCAAGAATGACTTCGCCCGCGGATGCTTTGGCTTTTGCATCGGCAGGAAGCGTGCTTCCTTTCGTTGCCCGCCCTCCGGTGGCTGGGTCTCCTGGAGACTCGGAGAAACGAGTTCTATGTATACCTGTGCTGAGGAGGACAGGTGGCTTCCTGCTTGCTCTTCCCGCCGGTGCTGTGCCCCCGAGCCTCCTGGCCCAGGGAAACGCTGGCGATCCCGAGGCTATGTTCGGGCCCTCGACTGTGCTGACCGTCCCGGCAATGGAGGAGCAGGAGGATGGAGCCGAGGCGGCCACCGAGACCTCCATCGAAATTTTGGTTGTCGATTTCTCCGACGCCGCCGCTGCTTACCTCGAGCCCTTCGACCCGCTATCGTTGGAGGACCCCGTGCCGTTCAGCGAGGAGGCCCCCCAGGTCTTTCCAGAGTGCAGGCAACTGGTTGCTTTAAGCAAGTCGTGGGTCAGGACTGCCGAAGGGGAGCGCATAGCTTTCTACTCCGCCCAGGAAGGCGAAGACGAGGCACCCGAGCAGGCCGACCCCGTGGAGGCCCCGGCTGCAACTGCAAAGGCGAAAGGAAAACGTGTTACTACGGCCCAGCTGGCCGAGCAGCTTGGCTCGATCAGCCAACTCCTCCCGGCCATCAGCGACAGGCTCCAGGACCTTGCGGAGAGGCAGAAGGAGTTGGAGACCAAGGTGACGGCACAGGCAAGTACGCCTCAGGTGCCGGCTGGACCGGCCCACAAGCAGCCCTTCACCCTGCCGACCTCCAAAGCTGCCCCTGCTACCGTGAGCCCAACTCAGGCTCTGGTGTCCGTGCTGGGGCCGCCTCCGCGCTCCAGACCTTTGCCTTCCGCGGCCGCTCCGGGATCCTCCCTGCCTCAGCCGATTCCCCCAGACGACGAAGGGGGTCAAGACACTACCACGGCCAGTGCATTGGCTCAACAGACTGCGGCCCTTACTCAGCTGGTGTCTCACCTGATCCAGGCCTCCGACGGCTCAGGAGACTTCGTGGGCGCGCCGGCGCCCTCCGGGCTGTCTTCCCGCGCCTCTGCAAAGCGAGAGCGACTTCAAGCCGAACTGGCCCAGCGAACGGGAAACTTTATGCTGGCCGTCGCTCAGAGCGGCTTCAGGCGGAGCTACCCCACGGAAACCATGCCTCGGACCCTGGACGAGTTTCGGCAGGAGCCGCGCCGCTTCCTTTTCAGCCACTACCTGGAGCGCCATGGGGGCTACCAGCACCAACGGGACCTGGGTCTCATTATGCACATGGTTACCCAGGTGGCCGACCTCCTGATGGCGAGCGAGGTGGAGGGCAGCCTGGACCTGCTGGCCCTTATCATGGTCTGCCTCGAGCAGGCAGCCGCCGACCACGGGAAGTTCGAGGTGGGCTTCACTCTTTCCCTGTTTGCCGAGCCACCCCAACCGGGGATCACCACACAACCCCCGGCTCAGAGCCTTCGCTCCCTTGTGCCCGGCGGCGTGGGCGACGACCGCCTTGGCCTTCCTAAAGGAGACCGATGTGATCTTATCTCGCCGCCAGGAGGCATCCGGTCAGGCAGCCTCCTCGGGTCAAACTGCCGAGGACACGTCGGCGACTGCAAAGAAGCCTCCTCGGAAGCCACGTTTCCCGAGGAAGCCAAAGGAGACGTGAGGGGAGGGGGTCGGCGGCCTGGTGTGACACCTCGGCCCTCTCAGCCTTGCCCTTTCCCTGGTCTAGGCCCCTCCGGTTTAGAACCTGTCCTCTCTAGCGGTTGTCCCTCGCGGCCTTCTCCAGATTTCCGGGCCGGTGTCTCGACCCACCTGCCGCATGCCATCCCCTACCTGAACCTAGGCCCTTCGCCTGACCCGCGGGCCGGTGAGCTGCCCGGCGTCGTGCCGCCTAGTTTGGACCCGAGCCTAGGCCCTTTCGGTTTAGGACCTGTCCCCCCTAGCGGTTGTTTCGTGTGGCCTTTGCCAGATTGGCCTTCAGGACCTCCCTGTCCCTCGACAGGCCCTGGCCCCCCTGGTTTAGGACCTTCCCCTCCTAGTGGTTGTCCCGTGCGGCCCCCTCCTGGCCTTACACCTGCATCCCATAATTCGCCTTGCGAAGCCTTGGCTCCCGGCCGGCCTCGAGCGATCTCCCTTGCGAAGCTCCTGCCATGAGGGCCACGACAGGACCGCGACTCCAGCTCACGAGGCTCGCCCGAGACAGCCTGATCTAGGTCAAGCCACTCCGGCCGCACAGTCGCCTCGCCTTTCCTTCAGGAGCTGGTCCCTGTCTTTTGCTTTCCGTGTGGTGCGAACCCGCACCCCTTTTGGGGCTTTTCTTGGCTCCCTTCTGCACCTTTCTCCGGCCCCTTTTGAGGCGCCTTCGAAGACTTTGTTTCCTTTGCCATTGCCCTACTTCGGGCTGTTTAACGGCACCTCCCCGCAGCCTCGGAGCTCGGCTGCCCGCGCAAAGCTTGGAGTTCGCCGCACCCTTTTGGTAACGGTTGCGGCCCTTAACTACTTGCACGCGGGCTCTCGCCCTGTCTGCTTGCTCTCTCTGCGGAGGCCCCCCAACGCGACTCAGGCAAAGGCCCTGGATTACCTTGGGAGGCTTGTCAAAGCTTCCGGTGGCCCTGAGGATGGGAAGCCTTTCTCGGTCTCCCTCCCCTCGGCGTCTCGCCGTTCTTCTCAATTGATTGCACGCCTGGCGGAGCTCTCTGAGCAGCTGACCTGGTCGGGGTCTTCTTTCGACAAGTACGGCCGTGCCTTTCCTGGTGCGCCCCTTGGCCCTGACGCTGCCCGGGACGCCCTCAACCCTTACAGGTCGTTGGACCCCTCGCGGCTCGTGCTGGCCGGCCAAGCCAACTGGGACCCGTCGGAGTTCCTTGATGACCTGTTTTACCTCCCCTTCCGAGAGCCCCAGTCTATCCTCCTCCCTGAGGTTCCCCCTCCTGGACCTGGCGAGGTGCCTGACTTGACACGCGAGGACCCAGCTTCGGTGCTTGGACTTTGTCGGGTCTGGGACTCCAAGGGACTGCTTCGGCTCTCAAAGAGCGGCCCCGCTGGTCCGCACCAGGGGGTTCGCATCTTTAACGCCGTGAAATCCGCTGTCACTGATCGACAGATAGGGGATAGAAGGGGGAGAAACCGTTGTGAGGGAGTCTTGGCCGGTCCCTCGGGCTCTCTCCCCAGCGGCCCTCTCCTCGGTGGCCTCTTCATCGTACAGATAGACGCGATTTCTATCATCAATTGGCTGTGCCTCCTCGCCGCGCATTGCGCAATGTGCTTGTCCCCTGCATCGAGGCCACCCAGCTCCGCAATCTCAGAGCTTTCTCTCAGCTCGCCCTCCTTGAGGACACCCCGAGCGGGACAAGCCAGGTCGAGACTAGGCAGGCTTCTGTCAAAGGAGGAGGCAGCCCTGAGGAGAGTGTGGCCCGACCGTGAGGAGACTGTCCCGCTCCAGGCCCTTCGGCCCTCTCCCAAGAGGCCCCCTGCCTGCCGTTTCCACTTCCTCGAGATTTGGGGCGCTTCTTGCCCGATCTCCCCTCTCCTCTCTGCTCTCGGCTGGACTGTTGGTCCCCGTCTTGACCCAGCCGTGTCCCTTGAGTACGACTTGTGCTCTCGGAGAGTGTTTGAGTGGATCGCTTTCCTGCTTGAGCGGGGCCGTGTTGACGCCCTCGGTGCTTCGCTTCCGCTGGCCACCTTTAGCCCCGCCTCTAGGCCCCGGTTTAGGTCCCGTAGTTTCCCCTTAGGGTTTCCTGGTTCTTCCCCTAAGGTCGCAACTGCCAACACCTACGCCCGTCGAGTCCTCGGGCTTCTGCGTCTCTGCGGCCGCTTCGGTGTGCCCGCTGTGCTGCTGCACCCTGCGGCTTCGTTTGCACCCCAGCTGCCGCCCTGGCTTTCCTTACTTCGGACCGAGCAGGCCTCACAAGAACGGGCTCCCTACACGCGTGCCTTCGGAGCTTCTCAGGCCGCAGCTTCTCAGCCGTACCTCGTTGTGCGTGTGTGCCTCCCTTCCTTTGCCGAGGCCTCACAAAACTGGAGGTACTGGCACCTTGCTCCAGGCCCTGCCGGTGGAGCACGCGAAGCCGTCTCCCGTGAGGCCGCCGCGCTTCTTGACCTTGGGCTCGCCCGTCGCGCAGCGGCCCTCGCCTTCTCCGCGCTTCCGACGGAAGGCTTGGAGTCAGTCTTCGTCAACGACCTCGCGCTTAGCCTCCCCTGGAAGGTCTGCAAGGCTTGGACTTGGCCGCGCCCCGTGCATATAAACATTCTCGAGGCTTCCTGCGTCTACCGGCTCGTCTGTGCCCTGGCAAGGCAGACCGGCCCGCTCCGAGTTGTCAGCTTGTGCGACAGCAACGTCGCAAAGTGCGCTATCACGAAAGGGCGCTCCCCCTCTTTCGGGCTCTCTCCCGTGTTGCGTCGCCTCGCGTCGGTCAGCATAGCCTTCGGCATCTCCTGTAGCCTGGCTTTCTGCCCGACTCGCCTCATGCCTGCCGATCACCCCAGTCGTGACAGCGCCATCCCTGAGCCTGCTCCTAGTGTCCTGCAACCCTCTAACAAGCCCGGCTCGCTGCGAGCTCTCGTTGGCCTGCCTCCTCTCCGTCGGTGGGCTTCTGGTTGGGTCCGCCTCGTTCTTGGACTTGGCTTCCCTTTCCCCTGGGCCGGAGGGCACCGCGACGCTGGCCGGTCTTTTCGCACGTTCGTGCCTTCGCCCCTGGACTTTGACCGGACTCTTGGTTTTCCTGGAGAAGGCCCAGCTGGCTCCCTTGCTCCCTGGCTTTGCTTTTGGGCCTGCTTTGCCTGGCTGCTGCCTGCTTGCTTTGGGGCTTCTTCTTCGGGTTCAGGGTTTGTAGCCTCGCCTCCTGCTAGCCATGGCCGCCTCGCCCCTAGGAATGCTGGAGACCAGTGGAGGAAGAGCCGTCGAGGCTCCGACGACCTTCCCACGGGAAGGCTCGTCGAAGCTTCGACCCAAAAGCAACGGGACGCCCTCTGGAACGCCTTTGCCCGGTGGCTGGCGGATCAAGGCATTAATGCCGAGGAACTGGTTCAGCCCCCTGGCTCCTCTGACGTTGACTCTGTGAACTGTATCCTGACGAGGTACGGCAGGGAGCTCTACCGTGCTGGCCGACCCTACGCCCACTACAGTGAGCTCATCAACGCCTACTCTTCGAAGGTTCCGAAGCTCAGGCGCCTGCTTCAACCAGCGTGGGATCTGGCCTTCTCATGGAAGCGAGCTGAGCCAGGAAGGCACCACACGGCTATGCCCTGGCAGGTCCTATTGAGCTTAGTCACCACAGCTTTTTTGTGGGGCTGGCCTAGAACAGCGGGCCTCCTGGCACTCTCCTGGGGCGGGCTGCTGCGCATCGGAGAAGCGCTCGCAGCGCGCCGCTCGGACCTTATGCTCCCCAAGGACGTCTGGAACACTATAGACTTCGCCTACCTGTCCATCCGGGAGCCAAAAACCAGGTATTCGGCGGCGAGGCACCAGTCGGTGCGCATCGACCAGCCGAACGTGTTGAGGATAGTGACTGTCGCTTTTCAAGCTTTGGGACCCGCTGAGAAGCTTTGGCCCTCCTCTGCCCAGACTTTGCGCACGCGTTTTCGTCAGCTTTGCAGTGCTTTAAGGCTCCCATGTGGGAGCGGAAGCAAGGCCCCAGGACTGGAACTGGCCTCGCTCCGCGCAGGCGGAGCAACCTGGCTCCTTATGGCAGATGAGGACTCCGAACTCGTCCGCCGCCGAGGTCGATGGTTGACTTCGAAGATCATGGAGATCTACATTCAGGAAGTATCATCCATCCAGTTCTTGCCCTCCCTGCAGGCGGAGCCAAAGCGTTTGGTGTATGCAGCCTTGGAGGCCCATGCTGACATCTTGCACAAAGTCGAGTTTTTTATCGCCACGGGCATTTTGCCCAGTATGTGGTACAGATTATTTGCAGCGAGGACGGTCGCAGTCGACGATGTGGGTACTCTGGGTGGAGCTGCGAAAGTTCGTTAAGCTGCAAT